TTTAGAATTCTGACTACATCTTCCACAAAGTGGGGTTTTGCAACTGATAGCATGGACTAGGTGAAGTGATGTCTGTTTAACTTTTTCAAGTTTTGTATTTGGGGCTCCCCTATGAGCGCTCCCCAAATGATCTGACGTTCCCCTAGGTAGGGATATCCAGTGTTTGAGAAAAGCCAAATATAAGGAGAGGATGACCTCATGGACCCATTATGCCCTGTTCCTATTTCTGGGCCCCAGGATCATCCTTCCTTTTTGACAATAGAGCTGTGCCGCTGAGTCATGTGTAACTGAAACCTTCATCTGCAGTTCATCCTGCTTCTTGCTAGAACCCAGGAAACCTAGCCAAGGGGTGATGGTAGCACCAGGGCAGTTAGGGAAGTAGAGGTGGGTAAGAGACATTCAGGAACTATGAAGACAGAAAGAAATACTTGAGCCTAAACAATAATGACAAGAGTTAAGTCCGGAGAAATTTAAGGCATGGATCTGCCTCGCGTTATATAATTAAGATTTTCATAAACTTGCATTGTAAACCAACTCATATTTCAACTGCAACGGGGCAACTGACGTTTAGGGGAATCTGGTGATGGTTTCTTTTGTAGAGTGAAGCACTGTCTGTAAGGCTCACTCTCGCTTCCTACTTTGTATTGATATTTCTCTACGTTGGCTTTGAAAGAGGACTCTAGGTGTCTCATCTCAGCACCCTACCTAGCAGACAATTAGGCAGACCAAATACATTTGAGGCTAAGTATATTGTGAATCTGGACCCCTGACTTTATCATTGAAAATATTGAAATAGTCCTCTCACTAGAAAACGCCTAGTTATGGAAAGTGTTTTCAGAAAAGTATTTCAAAGAGAAAGGATGGACTGCTCATTTGTAGCTGGGAGAAATCTGTAGCCAGGGGCAGGGGTGGCTTCTTAGCAATCGTGTGGCTACTACTCAACATCTTCTTCTCCCCCTGTAGCTGGCAGTTAGCTGGTCACAAGGCCCTCTGTAATAGAAACTAAATTTCCCAGTCTTGCTGGCAACTATGTGTGCCCATGTGCAAATTCTGGTCAATAGGATTATCTAGGTAGGCCCAGTGGAATCAATCACAGGATGATAACTGAAACCGGGAGACAGGAGTCAGAGAAGAAGATGTGACAACGGAAGCGGAGGTTGGAGTAACGTGACTGCTGGCTGGGGGTGGCAAACCAAAGAACAAGGGCAGCACCCTGAAGCTGGAAAAGGCAAGGAAGCAGGCTCTCCCTCCAAGCCTTCAGAAGGAATGCAGCCCTGCTAACACCCCATGGGGCTAGCTCCAGAACTGTAAGATAATAAATGTGCCGTGTTTTAAGCCACTAAGTTTGTGGTCATTTGTTACAGCAACAATAGGAAACTAATACACTTTCTCAGGCTAGGGTTGATGTCCCTGTCTTTTAACAGAAGGGAGTACCAAGAGATGTCCACGTGACAGATGTATTCTCCCTGCTCCTGCGGTGTGGTAGCAGTCCTACTTCCTGCCAATGATTAAAGCTCATTATTCCTGCCAAGACAGTACCTTCTCTTCTTGCCTGCTCCTCTCTGGATCCAAAGTGCTCAGGTAGCAGCCACAGCTTACAATTTAATGAAACCCTGGCTGTGTACTCTGATGGAAGTTTTCCCTGTGAAAGACCAGGACCTCTGACCCTGCAGAGCCTACAGTTGTGAGGATGGGAAGCTCAGAAACCCCAGGGGAGTCACTGGGAATGTTGGGAAGTAGGAGCACTTCAGCTTCCAACCTTTGGTTCCCAGATCCATGTATTATTTTCCTGTTTGGACTTGTATAAATTCTATAGGTATCTGGGTCTCATTTCCAATCCTGCCTGGGACACTATTACATTAAAAAATTGAAGCCCAGAAAAGTTAATGAATTTGTTTAAGGTCACACAGGATGGCTAAGATTAGGACCCAACTCTTCTGAAATCTCATCCAGTT